CGCGCTCTTCTTTTACATATTCTGTCACTGAGGTTGCAAGGGCCACAGTTCATCTGTCTATTTTTAGAGTGCACACATTGGACACTTATCTCATCGTAGGCATATTAAATGTTATGGGTCTGTCGAAATTCCAACTTATTGTACCTTAAAATACAACATGAATTTCATCCATCTTTCATGGATGGATTCAGTGTGCAAGCAATTTGCCACACAGTTAAGTTTGAGCATTACGACTAAGATTATCTTGAAGTAAGGGAAATATAACCGTAGAAGCAGACACAACAATGTTGCTGCAGGCGCAACATTCTGAATATTATTGCCTGCATAACAGAGTCAATATTAATGCAAGTCATTCACAATGGAAGCTGACATTTGTAGCACAGCCGCTAAATTGAGGCCGTTATGTAAATCATATTCTGTTACTTCAGACATAATGCCACGAGTGTAGCTTTAGGAGGCCTTAGAAAAAAACAATGAAATATCTCAGCGTAATTTACGTATTATTGCCATTTGTTGTCTAACTGCTCCTATTTGGTTACCCGCTAGCCTAGCCTAGATCGTAAAATGAATCTGCTGTTGATGATGATAGAACAGGAAAGGTTCCGGGATAGAGGAGTACCCTATTATTATTATGATATACCCTGCTTGAAAATAATCAATTAGTACTTAATCGCCCAATATACATTAAATATCATTTTTTATAGTTTTTTTTTATTTTTATTTTTATTTTTTATTTATATTTTTTTTTTTTTATTGTGTTTTTTTGTGTAAAGTGAATTTGAATTTCTAAATCGTAGCATTTGAACAGTTATGACTACTTGAGTTCGTGTGTGTTTATGTTGTTGTTGTTGTTGTTTTTTTGTATGCTTTTATTTTTTTTCCTTTGTGTAAATTTGTTGTACATACATAGATACATATACATATATATATATATAAATACGGGTCTCACGCTTATCGATTTATATACATATAGATAAACATATAAATAAATATACATACATATATGTAAAATGAATATATATATATATATATGCATATATAAATATATGTATGTATGTCATGTGCATGTATGTATATATGTATGAATGTGTATAATATGTCGTCTCATAATCATATGTAGGGTGTGTATATAGATACATATGCTTATGTAGATGCATTTGCTATGATTTCAAACACCGTCACTTCATTTCCAAACGTTGATAATGCTGCTAATTTTGTGGTGCTCAAATTTAGTTGCATTTCGACTTGCTAATTTTTTTTTTTTTTTCTTTTTATTATTTTAATTTTTGTTCTTCTTCTTCTTGATAGATTTAGTTGATTTTCGATTCATTTCCTAATTTATATTGAGAGGCCAGACGGGAATTTGTCTATTGTTGTTGTTGGCAGTGTTGTTGTTGCTATTGATGATGTTGGGATTGATGTTGTTGTTGCTATTGTTGTCATTGTTGTTGTGATTATTATTATTGTTGTTGTTGTTGTTGATATTATTGTTCAGGCTATTGAAGTTGTTCTGGTTGATGTTATTCATGTTGTTATTGTTGTTGTTGTTGTTGTTCAAATTGTTACTAGCTTGCATGCTGATATTATTATTATTATTATTATTGTTATTATTCATGTTGTTGATGCCCTCGCTCATGTTGGCATTGCTAATTAGATGTGGGCCATTGCTGAAATAACTGCTGTTCTCCATTTGCGGCAAACCCCAATGATTTGCAGCCAGCTCGTGCGGCATAGCATTGTGCGACATATACCAAACGCGAAACTTTCCGGCCGGTGGCCCCGGAGCTGTATGTGGCACGAGCCCGTTGTTGATGAAGACGGGCGCCTTGAAGTTGAGACCGGAGCACGGCGGAAACTGTTGCATCTTGTTCAATTGTTGCTGTTGCTGTGGGTGCAGCTGTTGTTGCTGCTGAAGTTGCTGAAGCTGTTGCAGCTGCTGTTGCTGCTGGGGCAGCTGCAGTTGGAGCTGTGGTTGCTGCAATTGCTGCATATGCTGCAACTGCTGCAGTTGCTGCAACTGGAGCTGCTGTTGCGGCTGTTGCTGTTGCTGTTGCTGCTGTTGATGATGGTGCTGCTGCTGCATGATGTGCTGCTGTAATTGCTGTTGCTGCATAATTTGCTGCTGCTGCAGTTGCTGTTGCAGCTGCTGTTGTTGCTGGTGATGTTGTTGCTGCTGGTGCAGCTGCTGTTGCTGCTGATGCTGCTGCTGTTGTAGCTGTTGTTGCTGTTGCTGCTGCTGTTGTTTTTGCTGTTGCTCCTGCTGTTTGTGCTGCTGCTGTTGCTGCTGTATCTGTTGCTGCTGCTGTTGCTGCTGATCTTGCTGCTGCTGCAGCTGCTGTTGCTGCTGTTGTTGCTGCTGCTGTTGCTGCTGCTGTTGCTGCTGCTGCTGTTGCTGCTGCTGCTGTTGCTGCTGCTGCTGTTGCTGCTGCTGCTGTTGCTGCTGCTGCTGGCTGCTGCTGCTGCTGCTGCTGCTGCTGCTGCTGCTGCTGCTGCTGCTGCTGCTGCTGCTGCTGCTGCTGCTGCTGCTGCTGCTGCTGCTGCTGCTGCTGCTGCTGCTGCTGCTGTTGCTGCTGCTGCTGTTGCTGCTGCTGTTGTTGCTGCTGCTGTTGTTGCTGCTGCTGTTGTTGCTGCTGCTGCTGCTGTTGCTGCTGCTGCTGTTGTTGCTGCTGCTGTTGCTGCTGCTGAGGGTGCTGCTGTGGGTGCTGCTGAGGGTGCAGTGGCGGCCACTGATGGCCAGGCTGTGGCCATGCTGGCGGTGCATACATAAAATACGAGCATGCTCCAGCAGAAGGCGGCGGCGGCGGCGGTGGAGTCGGCACCAATGCAACTGGAGTTACGACAATTCCCGTGGTTGGTGTCGATGTTGATGCCAGTATTGCTGCTGCGGCAGCTGCTTGCTGAGCAACCAGCTCCTGCAGAGTCGGCTCATTGTTGTCCTGCTGCATCTGCCATTGCAACTGGCGTTTGAGCAGCCCGTGCAGCTGGCGCAGCTGAAGCAGCGTCTGCTGAAACAGCTGGCGATTGGGCAGTGAGGGCAGCAGCTGATCAATGCTCTGCAGGAGACGGCGTGTCTGATTCTGCAAATTAATCAGCTGCTCGGTCAGCTTCTGCTTCTGGTCCATTGTCGGCTTCTCCTTGAGCGGCGATGACGACGGCGAAGACTTTTTCTCCAGCGAAGATTTCTTTTCCGGCGAAGTTTTTTCCTCCAGCGAAGATTTCTTCTCCAGTGACGAGTCCTCCAACGACGATTGCTCCAGCGAAGGTTTCTCCAGCAAGGATTTCTCCAGCGATGATTTCCCATACCTGCTATCGTTAGTCATCTTCGGCTCATCCTTCTGCTCGTCCTCGGTGAAGTGCCACGGCTCAAAGCGCTGCCGACGCTCGCGCTCGAACTGACGTTCGCGCTGCGAACGCAACCAGGCATCCAGCTCTGCACTTATCGGATTTTCAGCGTTCTGCGATTGAGATTGGGTTTCGGTTTGTGATTGTGAATGCAATTGTGATAATGTGCGAGCGTTTGAGCTGCCTAATTCGATTTGGCAAAAGACCACGAGATACTTACATATTGCGGATCGCCGCGCCACTGAGAGGCCGGGTCCTTGGGGTCCTTGGTCGAACTTACGTTAATATTCAAGCTGTTCATAGCAGCCATACGCTCGGCCCGCTCCGAGCCAATTGGCGGTAATTTCTGGCTATTTTCCATGATGATTCGTTAATGATTTGTGCTAGCTTCAGAGTGGTACAAAACTATTGTTGTCAGAAGTGGTTTTAATTGAAGTTAAATTTTCAGTGCCATACCCAAAAAGAATTCTAATCCATAGCCAACTAATTTCCGAGTTGCCTATTTAAGTCTCACACAAATCTATCTAAGCATCATCGTTTTCATTCTGTTATCGATATCAAAAAGCATTTAGCTGGCTATCGTTCATCTGTCAACTGTCGATTTAAAGCGACTATCAAGCAAATTAATTATGTTAAACGAGTTTTTCTGGAATATGATGATTTACGATATGTATAAATGCAATTATATGTGCATGGTGTATCTGCCAGTTGGGTGGATTCCATTTGAATGCGGTTTTTGCACTTGGTATGTTTCTATGCACACGATAAGCTCTAAAATATACCAAAAGCAGCATCTGCACTTTACATGTGCTACATTTTTGTACAGTGATACAAAAGAGATGCACATACATATATAAATAATAGCTCTTTCTTGCAACTCGAGTCACGTGTTTCCTCTGCCTCCAACCTCCTCTCTTAAGCCCTACGCTTCTCTATCGCTCTGGTCATCTCCATAACTCTTTTTGTCTCTCCCTTCCCATCTCTGCTTCTGTCTCTCTATCTTCATATCTCCTTTTCTCTCTCTTTCTCTATCTTCATAACCCTTATTCTCTCTCTCTCTCTCTCTCTCTCTCTCTCTCTCTCTCTCTCTCTCTCTAATTATCTCTCTAATTCTCTATATTGGTCTTTATATTGCACTCTATGTCTTTTTTTTCCACAATAGTTCTTTCTATCTGTCTATCTCTCTCTCTCTCTCTCTCTCTCTCTCTCTCTCTCTCTGGTTCTCCCTCCCTCGCGCTCTCTCTTTCTCTCTCTCTATCTGTGTCTGTTTCTCTCTCTCTCGCTCTTGGTCCCTTCACTATATCAGTCGAAGCTTGCCCGTTCACAATCTGAATTTTTCTGTTAATTTGTATTTCTCTATTTATAGCACTTTAGGCCCCACTCTCTCTATCTCTCTATCTCTCTCTCTCTATCTATCTCTCTCTCTCTCTCTCTCTCTTTTAATTCGCCTTTACTAACGCCTTTCTATGAAATTCTCATTGCTGGCAATGAAATACAAGAATCTCTTTTTGTTCTAGCTAATTTATTATAGAACTAGAACGACACATATTTCATTTCATTTCATTTTCTTTAAGGACTTATAATCATAGAGCTTTATTCCAGGTATTTGAAAACGCATTTCCTCCGTTTGATTACTCACAGTTATTGTTCTGTTGCAGGTGGAATATGCGACAACCGAATCGGTGGTAACTGTCGATTGGGAGAACGGCTTTGTGGAGGCATCGGCGGCCAACAATGAGAACATAACACAGGCAAGTGCTGGTGGCCTCTGGCAGTCCCGTTGGCAGTTCTGTGGGTGGTTTAGTTAGTAATTCGAGATGCTTTGTTATTGGCAGGTATTCAAGGAGCTGTTGGCCCAGGCCAAGATTACGTACAACCTGAGTCCGGCGCTGCGTCGCCGCCGGCAGTCGTTGCCGCAACAAATTGGCAACAATGGGCCCGGTACACCGCTGCACCACCAGCACCACCATCACCACCACCATCAGCAGCAACAGCAGCAGCAGCATCATCAGGGCTCGTCGCACGGTTCCGGCTCCGGTTCGGCCTCCACATCGTCGGGCGCTGCCGGGGGCGGGGCGCATGGCTCCCATACGCCAACGCCCGCTCAACTGCAGCATCTGCAGCGCATCCAGGAGCGCAGCCTGGGCGCCAAGCGCAACTCCTGCACCATTTCCTAAGCCAATCAAGGCATTTAACTATGTAACTGAAACTGAAACTGAAACTGAAACTGAACAAACGGTCTCCTACAAATGGTTTTCAATGTTTCACAAATAATAAAAGTTTTACAATTTATGGATTTACGATCTTATGTACTCACGACTCAAGTGTACCTCTTGCTACTAACTTTAGTACCTATCTAGAGCAAGTTTTTCGCTCAGTCTAAACCACACACGCTAACCTCTATCCCTGTCTCTCTCTCTCTCTCTCTCTCTCTCTCTTTCTGTCTCCAGTTTCGACTACTTACCTATTTTTAGCAGCAGCTAACTTTAACTAAATTAACTACAAATTCACATTCCAATATTAATTATATATTTCTACAAATATACATATTAAAAAAAAATTTTTTTTTTTAAATAAATAAAAGAAAATTATATATAACACTCACAGATATTTCAACAATAAAGAGCAGTCCCAATCAATATCTGTAATCTGTAAATACTTGACAATATCTGAAACATACAACTTGACCAAAAGCAAGCATTCTTCTTTCAATTCTCATTCGATGAATTCCCATGTTTAGTTAAATATACCACTTAGAGAACACAGAGAAGAAGAAGAAGAAGCAATTACAATTTTACTCAAGCTTAACTTATTCAAGTCTTAATACATATTTACACAGTTGCTATTTCTAACAATATTAACAAACAGAATCAAAAAACACAAACTATTTCGTAAAATGTGGCGCGCCAAAGCTAAGGCGGCTGTTGAACCGCTCCTGTGGCGAAATATAGAAAGGGTTTTAGGTGTGTGTGTGTGTATGTGTGTGTGTGCGTTTACCTAAACGAAATATGAAAGTAAATAAATTATATTAGTTTATTCAATAGAACTTCTGTTAAGGTCTGATTCTTCCACACTCTCTGCATAGCTCGACTATGATATACCCTATATCTGAAGTGATTAAAAAGAAAATTTTAATTAATATACATTTCATGCGAAGAATTTAAATAACAATATCTGTATACAAAATTCCAGTTCTTGTCTTATAAACGTTTTAATTTGTATTTACAGTTACATGATTTTTTATATGACACTCTAGAATACCCGGCCCTGCTTCACTGGAACCATATATAGGCGTGCATCTGTGTATGTGTGTGTGTGAGTGTTCGATCTTAGATCAGCCCAGTTGTGTAGAGTAGCACAGATATACATATATACATACATATATTCGTGATCGTTTATCGTCTGTGGAAGATTTAAGCAAATGCATAGTATAATAAATATATAAAAACAATTTTTTTTATTTTCTTTTTTACTATTATGAGAATAAAATATATTGATGTTAGAATTTATGGTATGTGAGCTAGGCAAGCATAGTTAGTAAACGACGGGTTAAGATTGAAAATGCAATGAAAACACCAAACAAAACGAAACTGAGGCCAAACATAGTAACCAAAAAGCAACTAGAAAAGAAATGGGAAACGATAACGATAACGATAACGATAACGATAATGAAAACGAATAAGTAAAAGTAAAAGTAAAAGTGAAAGTAAAAGTAAAACAAAAATTAAATAATATAAATATATATATATATGTATAGTACGGGTACAACAGATGATATGATATGATAAATTGGATATGCGATATGGGAGCTGCTATAGCGTAATCAATATTATTTAGCAAATATACAAATATAAATCGATGTGTGTCTCTGTGTGTAAGTGTGTCTATATAAATATATATATATATATATATATATATATTGGGGTATACGTATAAGAAATTTTTGTTGTTACCCTGTTATCGAACCAATTTAAAAAAGTAAACAAAAGAAAAACAATGCTGAGCTTACAACAAGCACAAAAATATTTAAAATGTATTATAAATGGCAAAACTACAAAACTTCAAAACTTCTGGGCTACTTCATGCTATATATGTATATCTATAAGAAAAATCCAATATACATATATATATACATATATATATTTACAAGTCAAGCTCAATTGTTTGCGATTTGAGCGCAAAGTGTTGAAAATATGTTTAATGAATAAGCGTGAATATCGAATATGTTACAATAACAATAACAACATGAAAAACAAAAACCAAACTGAATTTATGTAATTAAAAAAAAAAATCAGAAATAAATAAATATACATAAATGCAAAATGAGATCCCAATTCATATGGAAATACCTATGCAAAAGTAGTGCGTATTCATGTGAATTACAACAATTACATATATACATACATATATCTACTTAAAAGTACTCGAAAATTTATTGAAATCAACATGTCATAGCCAGTGCTCTGTGTATTTGATATAATTAGAAAAATTATCTATGTATTAAAAATAAGACCAAAACGAAAACTTTTTTTTTTTGCATTTGAATATGCATAAACACTATATGCTCTATCTCTCTCTCTCTCTCTCTCTCTCTCTCTCTCTCTTCTATGTCAAATCGCAGCCAACTTAATGAGTTGTATACATTTCATTTGGCGTTGCCAGATCAATCAATGCGTTAGCTTTTTATGTAAATACATGTAATTAAAAAAAATAATAATAACAATGGAAATAAAAGATTTTGGATATAAAAAACAAAGCAAGGCCATACAGAATTGACTAGAGCGCCAAGATGTTGGCGCTAATTTAAGGCATATACCAAATAAATTTCGCTATGGGTTCTTCAAAAAACTTGCTATATACTCGTTAATGACACAAAAAAACTAATAATTTATTTATATACATTCATCTATATATGTAGATATATACCTATATAGATTAATACTTTATTCTGGAGCTTAAGGTTGTGTCCGCTGTATACGCCGCTGCAAAATTTACATTTTATTGATGTGAGCTAAAAAAGAAAATATATTTGTACTCATCATTTGAGAAATAGTTGCAAATCGGTGTTCGAACATACATACATACATACATATATCTTCCGCGACTTACATTACGTTTCCGTTTTCTCCTAAGTTTTAAAGTTAACAATTCGTATATAAGAAGAGTCGTATGTGGAAGAGTCGAAGCAAAAAGACCCAAATGCATGTTGTTGAGAACTAAATACAGAACTTAATCAATGGGTATGCATAACAATTATTAATATATATTAAAAAAAAAAATAAATAAAACAAATAAAAACATGTGTATACATATGCGTACACACATCAATATACATGCGCATATATGCATATAAATATATGTTTAACAATACGTGTCTACTATGTATTATGTATAGAATATATATATTTAAAACAAATGTATTGAATAAATGGCAAAGCAACAAAATAAATTTAAAAAAAGACAATTTCTTTAAAACGAAAATGACAAAGAAAACAAATTCACTTTGCGTGCATTTAAGTAGCCTATACTAAAAGCGGAAATAAGTTACATCTCAATTTATGATTCTCAAGTTTATGTTGTGCTAACGGAAATGAGAAATTAGTGCAATAACCAAATGCCAGCGCATGCTCTCAAAAGCCGATTGCAATCAGTTTTGCAGCGATACGAAAGCTGCTTGCTACAAGAGCAGGCGCCTTCTGTGCAGCTACGAGCTGCTTGATACGATACGACAGCTAGTTGCCTCTAAGCTATGTCAAATGAAATTTATAACTGTTTAAACACCAGTGAGGTGAAGGTAAGATTCTATGAACACGAATTGCAGGTGAAATTTCGCACATAAATACATATACATTTGGTATGTATGTATAATATATGACACCATGGACTGATAACAGAAAGAGGTGTGGCAACCTACATATATAAAAATCAATATAGAGGTAAATATCATATTCAAGGGAGTGTATGACAGTATGGGTGCCCACGTGCGTGTGTGTTCGTGTGTATGTATGTGTATGTCCGCGCGTTTGAACAGCAACAATAACAAACCTTAGCACAAGGCCAAACAAATAAGCGTACAATGTGCAAAAGTACCAAGCTCAAGGTTATCGCACTAGCCACAAGACATAGACGACTAGGCAATACACTACAAATTGTGTATACTATTTATATATAATTTATCTATGCATATATGATATTTTCAGTTTATATATATATTTATTTATATTTCATGAATGTGCTATATGTGAAAGGAAAAACTCTCTTTTATATTATCTTATAAATATAAGAAAAAAAAAATGTATATATATACATATATACATATATACATATATTTTTTTTATGTATATAAGAAAATATAAAAGAAAGGTTTTTCACATATTATTATATATAAATAGTATATAAAGTCCCATCATTTCATATGACTTCAGCTAGCGCATATACCCTGCTCTGGCGATAGCGGGCCAAGCAGGCCAAGCACACCAGGATAGCCAATTTCAAAACAGACGCAGGCGCAGACATGACCACGCTGCGTATTAGTAATACTATCTATGTTGTCATTGTGTGCTTGTGCGTGTAGTAGTAGTAGTAGTAGTAATAGTACTCACGTTCTGTAGTTCTACGCAGCCAAGTCAATGACTGCCTGCTGCTTCTTCACACGTCTCAAACACTATAAGCAAAATGGACTCTGAACTAAAATCCAGGTTTACTATATAACTATTACCATATTTTTCACATCTCTATATATACTAAAATAAAACTATATATATTAATGATAAAAACGAATTTTAAAAATTATATATTTATTATTTTATTAATGAATTTATGTTTTTCTATTTAATAAAAGACAGAGTTTCACTACATTTTACATAAAACAAATACATATATAAATAAATCGTATTCCAGCTGATATATTCTAGCTCTCGATTTTAATCGATCTCAGCAAATCGGCTAATGTTCTCGATAAATACACGTTGACTATGTCTAGATCAACACACATGTATATTTATAGTAATTTTTACTTTTACTTCAGTTGTTATATGAATTACAAGTCTACCCCAAGCATGCCACATTCGTATGAACGAAAACGGTATACCCCACAGCTGGCCGAGAGCTAGAGCATTTTGAATTGCAAGCCTTAACTGCTGTTGCTGCTATATGTGCAAGTCCTACAGCAGATTCAAACGGCAAGCGTTTATAGCTAATATTTGGATTTAAAAATAATATAAAAAAAATATATTGTAAAAGTGAAAAGTAAATTGCAAAAGGATTTGCCGAATCCTGCCGCAGCTGGTGAGTATGTAGAGAGAGTGGAGCGTATAAGTATATAGAGCGTTTGCTGTTTTGGTTATTAGGTCGCTGGGTCGCTACATGTGCACACATATATACATATATGTATATGTATATATAGATGAGTGTTTGTGTTTGGCCATGGCCAACTGTCAGAAGGCGCCGAAAATCGTAACCGATATATGGCCAAAGCTGTAACCGGATTCGCGGCGCCCGGCTGTGCCCGGTCATTGTAATTTAGCCAGCAAGCGATTCGCAGCTCTCAGCTGGCAGCTCCAGA